TTATCTCCCAATTCCCAGGTGCTGTGTTATCAATATGGGCTTAGCAAAGCCTTCTATGCGAGAAATAACTTCTATGACAGAAAGGGAGCCTCAGTGGCAGAAAGATTCCTGAATAGGAATAACAGTCAGCAAATATATTGCAAAGTGTGTCGAATGCAGGACAATAACAAGAGATGGTGACAGGGGCACAGGCCTGCGACTGAGTATAAAGAACCGTAATTAAAGTGACAGAATACCAAAGTAAAAACAATAAAGTAATAAAAAGAAAGTTCAGAAGTGAGCTCTAACTTAATCCTGAGCCAAACTCAACCTTAAATAAAGCTCACTCTGTATTACGTGACTTTATACGCAGTTCCCAGAGAGCAGAGTCAACAGCTCTTCTGGCTCTAAGGAACACTCACCTTCGCTTGTTTACGCAAATATATGTAAAAAAAATACACATTTAAGGAAGCATAAATGCACAGTTACTCCTTGGGTTTCTTTCCTAATACCATGACTTGACACACATCCCCTTGAGAGCAACCTTGCCTCACCGGCAAGGTTGCTCTCACTCGTGATTCATATGATTCACATTCATTCTCTGTTACTCATCTTCTTCTGTTACTCATTTGTTGTTAGTTAGTCACTAACTTCGTTTGCTACTTATTATTTCTGTTTCACATCACTGTCTTACCTTTGCTCACCATTTTTCATGTTTATACATTATTCATATGGCCAATTTTCTTCCTTTAATTCATATTCATGTAAATCGTTACATTTTATTAACTATTATTCTCCTTTAACACATTATTATTTATTGCCTTCAGCTTTTAACTATTATTATTATTATTATTATTATTATTATTATTATTATTATTATTATTATTATTATTATTATTACTATTATTCATTATTATTATTATTTTTATTATTATTTTCATTATTTATTATTATTATTATTATTATTATTATTATTATTATTTACTTTTATTTTATTTGTAGTAGTAGTAGCAGTAATATAAAGAATATCATAATATCATCAAGGTTACATACATACATATATATACAATATATATATATATATATAATATATATATATTATATATATATATATATATATATATATTATATATATATATATATATAATATATATATATACATATATATATATATATATATATATATATATATATATATATATATATATATATAATTTATATATATATATATATATTATATATATATATTATATATATATATATATATAATATATATATATATATATATCCTTAAATCTGAGCTGTATATAAATAGTATTTGATTTATGATATGATTCTATTTTCCGAAGGTTGGCTGTCAGCGTAAAGTTTCAATATCAAAATCTGTACCAAATATAACCCTCCATATGTATGTACACATTTTACAACTTCTCAGTGGATGTCGATAGTAGAAGATAGTTTTTATCATGTCAGTGTGATATTATTTGATTTCCTGATGATGGGAGACTAAGGGGGGTCCCCTCGGTGCTGGGGAAGGGATCTTGAACAAGGAATTGAAGCAAAGCTCACTTTCCCTGGATCAAAACTGATTACCTTTCCAAGGATAAAATGATGATAAGAATTTTGAGCAATATTGACAATGATTCAAATATCTGTGTGCAAGTGTGTGTGTGTGTGTGTGTGTGTGTGTGCGTGTGTGTGTGTGTGTGTGTGTGTGTGTGTGTGTGTGTGTGTGTGTGTACTCACCTATTTGTACTCACCTATTTGTACTCACCTATTTGTGGTTGCAGGGGTCGATTCATAGCTCCTGGCCCCGCCTCTTCACTGATTGCTACTAGGTCCTCTCTCTCTCTGATCCATGAGCTTTATCATACCTCGCCTTAAAACTATGTATGGTTCCCGCCTCCACTACGTCACTTTCTAGGCTATTCCATGGCCTGACTACTCTATGACTGAAGAAATACTTCCTAGCATCCCTTTGATTCATCTGAGTCTTCAACTTCCAATTGTGACCTCTTGTTTCTGTGTCCCATCTCTGGAACATCCCGTCTTTGTCCACCTTGTCTATTCCGCGCAGTATTTTATATGTCGTTATCATGTCTCCCCTGACCCTCCTGGCCTCCAGTGTCGTCAGACCGATTTCCCTCAACCTTTCTTCATAGGACAATCCCCTTAGCTCTGAGACTAGTCTTGTCTGTATATGTGTGAGTGTCTCTGTCTGTGCGAGTGCATGTGTTTTATGTGTGCATGAGAGAGAGAGAGAGAGAGAGAGAGAGAGAGAGAGAGATAAGGAGAAAAAACAAAAAAGAATCATAAAATTAATAAATATGTCAACATTATTAAAATTTTCCTGTAAAACATTTTCAGAAAAAAAAATTCTTTTGTCATTTTAAAACTTGGTGTACATATATGTATAATACAATGTGGGATACAAGTATATAATTTTTAGTCAAATAAAAATATCCATAAATTATTATACCACACATGTAATGCATGTATATATTATTTAATCATATATATT